TCTACCAAGTCTATGTTTAGATATACTATTCAACTAGTCACCTACCTAGTCTATGTTTAGATATGCTATTCAACCAGTCACCTGCCAAGTGTCATCATATGGTGTGAAGTATGTACTATGTCATTTTGTGACATACGGGTTAGTGAAATAATTTCACAGCTTACCAGGGTCCATTCCCATGGCGGGTGGTTTAGAAAGACCTCATAGCGTGCAGTGGTCACATCTTAAAAAGAAATGGGGCCTGACCACTTAATATTCCCATAATCACCAGTTATTACCTTGCAGCCAACCTCTAGTGTGCAGGACAGCACTGTTTTATCTGTCTGACAAAGCAGTGTCCGGGACCATAATACAGATTTCATTAAAAGGCAATCAAGAAAATTGGATTATGTTGTTATAATAGGAAAGATGAGGAATAAGGTTATTCAACCTCCACAAAGTTATTCTGTCTCTCCAGCTACTTGTTTGAAGTGTTGGGAAATATTAAGGACCTTATGTGTGCTCTGTCCAATGTGTTGGTTTTTATTTCCATACGGCTGTTCTCAGTGCTACTGTTTTATATTCTGCAAGGTCTTCCCCTTGCTCTGTGGCAAATTTTCTTTAGCTGGTAACTGGGTAACCACGTGAGATGGCTAATAAGAATTGGTTTCTCTTTATTAAACTGTATGACTGGTTTCCGGTCTAGCCTTTTGACATATTCTCACTTTTTATTTTGTATTTTATTCCCCATAAGGTAGCCGGCAGAATGGTATGAATTTGGAGCTTAGTTTTAACATAGGTAGCATAAAGCTAGCCAAAAAACAAGCTGTCAGATATATATACGTGGTGTTTATTAGGGTTAAGACAACCACACAAGGAAACCACAACATACCTTGAACTTCTTCCTGTGCGACCTCCTCCTCCTGCACGGATGATTGCCTTTTATCTTTCTTTTTCTTCTTTTTCGGAGACTCCTCTTGTACCTCTTCTGTTTCTGCTGTCACTTTAAGTTTCTTGGCCTTGGCTGGCTTGGGTGTATCTTCATCCTCCGCCTCCTCCTTGATTTTTCTCTTGAGGGGAGTGACTGGGGTGGAGTGTGCCTCTTGTTTAAGGTCTCTCTTGATTGTAGAGTCTATGGCTGGGTTAAATGTCTTGACCTCACTGTGGAGAAAACATATGTTTACAGGATGGCTAATGTCACTCACATTCACAAATATGTTGCAGTATTTGAAACATAAGAATATAACATGAATGTTTATGTCAATGGTACTACATGCAAATATGTATAGAAAATCTAACATAGGAAGCATGTTTATACAGGACCCTATAGTTATAGAAACTACAATTCAGAAGGCAAATGCAGCTGCCAAAAAGCTAGCCTATCAAACCGTCTCCCAGAAAACAAAATGATTCAAAGCATTTTCATTCTCACTGTGACAACTCGGACAAATATGAACAGAAATTACCTATGATAGGTGCTATGTGTTAAATGTGTCTATGTCACAGTTAAAATGGACCATGAGTGAATGACAGTGAAACACAGAAAGGAGTGATACAACCACCTAGTACACATGCAGTCAAGGCTAAACTTTAGAGACCCACAGAAGCATATTTGAATAAACGGTGAGGAGGACCAGGAAAGATTCAGACGGTGTAGCTGAAGCCTGCCAAGATTAAATGAACATATCACTTGAAAAACAAGAGACAAAATACACAGCATGAGACTGGACAATGTAACAAGTGTCACAACAAAAGCAACCAGGTAGAGGAACAGACAATGAAATGTGCAGTAGTAACAGTCAGAGATTTCACCAAATAAGGTTTTAAAAAAAATCAAAACAAGAGGGTCTCACCTGACATTTGTGTATTTCTCCTGTTTAACTGGGAATTTACCAGATCCACTGATCTTTCGTGCCTGCAACAAACCAACGTGTTTTTTTAAAATTAAGTCAAAAAATAAAGCAATAGTTGCAACAACATCAAGCAGAGTGGCAAGTGAATAGAATGATGCGTGCTCACACCTGGCAATGCTACACACACAAAAGCTACAGAAGTAGCAAAACATCAACATCTTTTATGCAAATGCTGAACTGTGTGGTTACTGCTTTCATTTGACATGTTCCCCCAATATAGAACAAACAATTATGGGGCGACCCATTTGTAGTGAGTAATTGACATAAGGCTGCCCAGAACCTTATTTTCCTCTTATCTCTTTCCAGAAATTCACAAGTCCTCACATGTTCCAGCTGATCCCATAATGTGAGCCTCATTCTGATTGATGTTAGTTATAAAATTTGTTTCGGCCTTTGGGTTTTTCTCGCTTTCAAAACATCTCTGAATCTTGCCCAAGTATTTTATGCATTCTTATGTTAAAACACACAACAGCAGAAAAAGAAAGGGTACAAAAATATGATTTACACAAGTAGAAAGTACCTTGCACACAACTCATTCACTAAAACAGCAAGATTACATGTAGGTGTACTGTGTCCTACAACCCTGTTACAATATCCCAATCAAAAAGACAATCAATGAGACCAATTGTCTTATATGGCTCTAAAACCTGGAGTAGAACAAAATGAGACAATGCTTTTTTTATAGCAAAGTGGCGAGTGAAAAGGCAAATTGTTTCTGTGCTTCTAAGACACAGCTGGTATAACAAATCAGATGCAAAAACACGCACACAGGTAACAGGTGAGAGGTAAAATGAAACTAACGGGTCAAGAAACAGGTACACACACACACAAAGAGTAACAATCAACTATAAGAGATCACTCAACACAGTGGTAACATCAAACAAAGCTCATGCTGGACATTACAGCATTGTCAAACTTTTGTTATAAGTAAACAGGAAATAAATCAATCTGCCTCAGAGGTAGTGACGAATGAGAAATCTTCACTGCAATTTCAGATACAACAGTTGCTTTCCATCATTGGCAGAAATCATTGTGTGTGCTCTACTTATAATTAGTTAATCAAAAGATTATCCCCACAGCACATCAGACAAGTCTATAAGCGCTCGGATCTCATATACAGTATATCCCCTAGCCTGTGGCGGCTGATAACACACAGTATAACAAATTTTTAAGATCATGTCATAATGATGCCTTCCAAGAAGCCTTATAGCAAATCTTTAGGAACCATTGAAAAATGCAAATAGAGAAGCTACAATACAATTCATAATAATCTGGGGGGAAAAGACCGATGCTAATAGACTTCAATGGTTGGAGCAAGTACAGAATCAAATAAAAACTGATTCACCAGAGTTGAATGGAAGTAGACAATAAAGAAGAACAATAAGACAATGGAGAGAGAATCTACAGAGTGACCAATAAACACTCCGAGCCTAAAAACTGGAAAGAGAAGTTCACTACCAGAGATGAATGGGACTTCGCGATATCTACCAGAGATGAATGGGACTTCGCGATATCTACCAGAGATGAATGGGACTTCGCGATATCTACCAGAGATGAATGGGACTTCGCGATATCTACCAGAGATGAATGGGACTTCGCGATATCTACCAGAGATGAATGGGACTTCGCGATATCTACCAGAGATGAATGGGACTTCGCGATATCTACCAGAGATGAATGGGACTTCGCGATATCTACCAGAGATGAATGGGACTTCGCGATATCTACCAGAGATGAATGGGACTTCGCGATATCTACAGCAGTGAAATGCAACAGTCTGGAATGCTGAATAATAATATTACATACAGACAACAATGACTACTCACAGCGTTCTCATCCAGGTGCCGAACCCTGCTCTCCAGCTTGGCCCTCTGCTCCACACCCATGCTGCAGTCGCTGGTCTCACTGAGAGCATCCACACGAATAGCCAGAGCTGCCTTGGCTGCTAGCATTCTGGAAAGCTGAACAACACAACAGCAAGTCATTAATGGTAGCACATCAGCAAGTCATTAATGGTAGCAATCAGCAAGTCATTAATGGTAGCAATCAGCAAGTCATTAATGGTAGCAATCAGCAAGTCATTAATGGTAGCAATCAGCAAGTCATTAATGGTAGCAATCAGTAAGTCATTAATGGTAGCAATCAGTAAGTCATTAATGGTAGCAATCAGTAAGTCATTAATGGTAGCAATCAGTAAGTCATTAATGGTAGCAATCAGTAAGTCATTAATGGTAGCAATCAGCAAGTCATTAATGGTAGCAATCAGCAAGTCATTAATGGTAGCAATCAGGAAGTCATTGGTAGCAATCAGTAAGTCATTAATGGTAGCAATCAGCAAGTCATTAATGGTAGCAATCAGCAAGTCATTAATGGTAGCAATCAGCAAGTCATTAATGGTAGCAATCAGCAAGTCATTGGTAGCAATCAGTAAGTCATTAATGGTAGCAATCAGCAAGTCATTAATGGTAGCAATCAGCAAGTCATTAATGGTAGCAATCAGCAAGTCATTAATGGTAGCCATCAGCAAGTCATTAATGGTAGCAATCAGCAAGTCATTAATGGTAGAAATCAGTAAGTGCATGCACCTATAAATATATATAAATTCTAGCAACATGTTCACTCCCAACTCTGGACAACGAATCCAGGATAGTTTCCAATATTCCTGATCCAACTCCAAATGATTGCTGCAACCTCTCACTATTTATGGAAGTTATGAGTAGGCTGGTTGCAGGTAGGGTTGCGTGTAAATCACAGGCACTATTAAAGATAACTTTCTTGTCTGGGAGAAAGAGCCTGAGCTCTCTCAGGCAGATGCAGTCCAAATTAGTGGACATAACATGCTTGTTGGGGAGGCAGTGGGTCTGGCCAGTGGAAAACATAACTAAGACTCCAAATGTCTTCTTGTTTTCATCTAGGTTCTTGGGGTGCAATTTCAGAGGAATAAAGATTTGCATGTTTAAGAAAATTGTCTTTTTGAAAATGCATATGGGGCGAGTCGGTTACCAGATCAGCTAGCGTGGTTGCTTATACAGATGACTAATTCTACACCTAGATAAGTTTAAATACACTAGGTATATAATAGAAAAACAGCTATAAGAAAATACACACCTTTCCTTTGTATTTAGGCTGGGCCGCACCCACCAGTGATGCATGATAGATCAACCCATATTTAGGGGTGTCGTGTTTTGTTTTCAGAGCCCTGAACAAAGCCTTCTCAGCGCCCAGAATCTGCACAGTTGAGGCCGGGTGCTTGGCAAGATTGAGCAGTGAACCTAGAACATGAACACCACCAAGTATTGAAATCATAAATATAAACAAGAAAATATGACAGCCAGGTTTCATGAACAAAAAGAGTAAATTTAATTTTAAGCTGTGTTTAATGAATGAAACTGGATGCATTTTTCATTACTGCTGCAGCGACGACACCTGGCATACACTCGTGGCACCCTAGGGTGATGCTGAAAACCGCTGCATTAGAGCACTGTCAAACAATCTGCCTCAGAGGTAGTGACGAATGAGAAATCTTCACTGCGATATCTGACATACAAGATGCTTTCCATCATTGGCAGAATTTGGGTACTTTTTTGATTCTATACATTCACAACACAGATCCTTGCAAAAGTGAAATGTTACCCAGTTTCTATATCACACAGTGCCAGGTGTAAATTTATGATTTGTCTGTTACGATTTCATTGTCCATTTAAAATATGGTAATGAGAGCCACAACTTAAAATTAGTGTCAAGTTACTCATCATCTGGCCCTATGACTCAATGCTTCCAAGAAAAAACAAATGGACCCAAATCACCCACCCCTCCCAAAAATTAGACTATTGCGGGCACGGTCTCATCAAGAGATTCAGGACAGAATTACACCGATTGCATCACTGTATATGTAAAGTTATACAATTAGTTACTAAACCTATTCAGAACTGAGTAAATTATTCACTTGTGGTTCAGACATCCAAGGAAGGGCAATTGGGCCATCTTTAGAACGAGAGCAGTTCTTCTGGTGGAAACCGCGAATGTTTTGGAGTAAACTTCATCATCACCACAAGTTCTTATAAAAGACATGACAAATGGCACTCGGCAATCAACTATTGGCTCTCAGAGAAATAAATTGACTATTGGGTCCTGGATACATAACCTGACTATTGGCTCCTAGATAACATAATCTGACTTGTTAGCTCCTAGAGAATATAACCCGACTTGGCTCAGAGAATATAACCTGATGGTAGGCTCTAAGAGAATATAACCTGATGGTAGGCGCTTTAGAGAATATAACCTGATGGTAGGCGCTTAAAGAATATAACCTGGCGGTAGGCTGCTAAAGAACATGGAACGACTTAGCTCTGTGCTTGCTAATATAACATCACTGGCAACTGATCAAGGCAAATCCCACTATTCTAGCTCTGAAATAAACATAACTAGAATCACAGCAATAATTACACTATTCCATAACAATCCTAGGCCTAGAGGGGCTACAGCCTGCAAACACTGAGCTAACATTCATTCTTTCTACCATCAACAATAAGAGATCACTCAACACAGTGGCAGCAGCAGCTGTGGTTCAGACATCCAAGGAAGGGCAATTGGGCCATCTTTAGAACAAGAGCTGTTCTTCTGGTGGAAACCGCGAATGTTTTGGAGTAAACTTCATCATCACCACAAGCCACTTCCAACAAAATTAGTGTCAAGTTACTTGTCATCTGGCCCTATGACTCAATGCTTCCAAGAAAAAACAAATGGACCACTTTGGACTAAAGAGCACTTCTGGTGCACAATGCCTTAACCACACGACTCAAATATTTAATATGTTCAACAAAATACATTATGCATAAACAAGCAACATCTAGCAAAGTTCAGTCTAGGGAATTTATACCCCATATCTCAACCCCTAACAGATAAAACTACCCCATCTCAATCCCTAACAGATAAAACAGTGTTTTCATTAAGATTAGAAATAAGATATTCAGTACTGAATTTCACCGACAGTTGTCCTGTGTATGTACTGTTGCACAACTGGCTACTAAACCCTGCCAATACTGAGTCTATTCATGTGCGGTTCAGACATCCAAGGAAGGGCAATTGGGCCATCTTCAGAACAAGAGCAGTTCTTCTGGTGGAAACCGCGAATGTTTTGGAGTAAACTTCATCATCACCACAAATTTATTTCAACATTTTTAGCAGTTCCAACAAAGGATGCTAACACACACCAAAAACCAGAGCTTATTCTAGCATCAATTACGACTAATGCTTTCAAAGAAAAGCGGGGACACAATTGATTTATGAACAAAATGCATTTCTGTTGTAAAATGTCTTAATCATTAGGCAGAGCAAGATATAATTATTTATGCACAGGGGGTTTTAAGAAAAGAAGCTTAATCCAGTCCAGGGAACTTTTACTCTATCCCAATCACCCACCCCTCCCAAAAATTAGACTATTGCGGACACGCTCTCATTAAGAGATTCAGGACATAATTACACCGATTGCATCACTGTATATGTAAAATTATATAATCAGTTACTAAACCTATTCAGAACTGAGTAAACTATTCACTTGTGGTTCAGACATCCAAGGAAGGGCAATTGGGCCATCTTTAGAACAAGAGCTGTTCTTCTGGTGGAAACCGCGAATGTTTTGGAGTAAACTTCATCATCACCACAAGCCACTTCCAACAAAATTAGTGTCAAGTTACTTGTCATCTGGCCCTATGACTCAATGCTTCCAAGAAAAAACAAATGGACCACTTTGGACTAAAGAGCACTTCTGGTGCACAATGCCTTAACCACACGACTCAAATATTTAATATGTTCAACAAAATACATTATGCATAAACAAGCAACATCTAGCAAAGTTGTCTAGGGAATTTATACCCCATATCTCAACCCCTAACAGATAAAACTACCCCATCTCAATCCCTAACAGATAAAACAGTGTTTTCATTAAGATTAGAAATAAGATATTCAGTACTGAATTACACCGACAGTTGTCCTGTGTATGTACTGTTGTACAACTGGCTACTAAACCCTGGCAATACTGAGTCTATTCATGTGCGGTTCAGACATCCAAGGAAGGGCAATTGGGCCATCTTCAGAACAAGAGCAGTTCTTCTGGTGGAAACCGCGAATGTTTTGGAGTAAACTTCATCATCACCACAAATTTATTTCAACATTTTTAGCAGTTCCAACAAAGGATGCTAACACACACCAAAAACCAGAGCTTATTCTAGCATCAATTACGACTAATGCTTTCAAAGAAAAGCGGGGACACAATTTATTTATGAACAAAATGCATTTCTGTTGTAAAATGTCTTAATCATTAGGCAGAGCAAGATATAATTATTTATGCACAGGGGGTTTTAAGAAAAGAAGCTTAATCCAGTCCAGGGAACTTTTACTCTATCCCAATCACCCACCCCTCCTAAAAGTTTTAGACTATTGCGGACACGCTCTCATTAAGAGATTCAGGACATAATTACACCGATTGCATCACTGTATATGTAAAATTATACAATCAGTTACTAAACCTATTCAGAACTGAGTAAACTATTCACTTGTGGTTCAGACATCCAAGGAAGGGCAATTGGGCCATCTTTAGAACAAGAGCAGTTCTTCTGGTGGAAACCGCGAATGTTTTGGAGTAAACTTCATCATCACCACAAGTTCTTATAAAAGACATGACAAATGGCACTTGGCAATCAACTATTGGCTCTCAGAGAAATAAATTGACTATTGGCTCCTGGATACATAACCTGACTATTGGCTCCTAGATAATCTGACTTGTTAGCTCCTAGAGAATATAACCCGACTTGGCTCAGAAGATATATGCAGATGGTAGGCTCTAAGAGAATATAACCTGATGGTAGGCGCTTAGAGAATATAACCCGGCGGCAGGCTGCTAAAGAACATGGAACGACTTAGCTCTGTGCTTGCTAATATAACATCATTGGCAACTGATCAAGGCAAATCCCACTATTCTAGCTCTGAAATGAACATAACTAGAATCACAGCAATATTTACACTATTCCATAACAATCCCAGGCCTAGAGGGGCTACAGCCTGCAAACACTGAGCTAACATTCATTCTTTCCACCATCAACTATAAGAGATCACTCAACACAGTGGCAGCAGCAGCTGTGGTTCAGACATCCAAGGAAGGGCAATTGGGCCATCTTTAGAACAAGAGCTGTTCTTCTGGTGGAAACCGCGAATGTTTTGGAGTAAACTTCATCATCACCACAAGCCACTTCCAACAAAATTAGTGTCAAGTTACTTGTCATCTGGCCCTATGACTCAATGCTTCCAAGAAAAAACAAATGGACCACTTTGGACTAAAGAGCACTTCTGGTGCACAATGCCTTAACCACACGACTCAAATATTTAATATGTTCAACAAAATACATTATGCATAAACAAGCAACATCTAGCAAAGTTGTCTAGGGAATTTATACCCCATATCTCAACCCCTAACAGATAAAACTACCCCATCTCAATCCCTAACAGATAAAACAGTGTTTTCATTAAGATTAGAAATAAGATATTCAGTACTGAATTTCACCAACAGTTGTCCTGTGTATGTACTGTTGTACAACTGGCTACTAAACCCTGGCAATACTGAGTCTATTCATGTGCGGTTCAGACATCCAAGGAAGGGCAATTGGGCCATCTTCAGAACAAGAGCAGTTCTTCTGGTGGAAACCGCGAATGTTTTGGAGTAAACTTCATCATCACCACACAAATTTATTTCAACATTTTTAGCAGTTCCAACAAAGGATGCTAACACACACCAAAAACCAGAGCTTATTCTAGCATCAATTACGACTAATGCTTTCAAAGAAAAAGCGGGGGGGGACACAATTTATTTATGAACAAAATGCATTTCTGTTGTAAAATGTCTTAATCATTAGGCAGAGCAAGATATAATTATTTATGCACAGGGGGTTTTAAGAAAAGAAGCTTAATCCAGTCCAGGGAACTTTTACTCTATCCCAATCACCCACCCCTCCTAAAAGTTTTAGACTATTGCGGACACGCTCTCATTAAGAGATTCAGGACATAATTACACCGATTGCATCACTGTATATGTAAAATTATACAATCAGTTACTAAACCTATTCAGAACTGAGTAAACTATTCACTTGTGGTTCAGACATCCAAGGAAGGGCAATTGGGCCATCTTTAGAACAAGAGCAGTTCTAGTGGAAACCGCGAATGTTTTGGAGTAAACTTCATCATCACCACAAGTTCTTATAAAAGACATGACAAATGGCAC